TTTGCTCGCTTCGGGGCAAGCGCAAATCTCAAAGATCGCTTCGGTCCTCTCGAACCATTGAATTAGTGCGAGGACACCCCCACTTCCATCAAAGGAATCGGGTTTGCCATTTGTGAAGTCCTTGTAAGTGCATTCCCTTGTGCGTCCTGCACTATCCCCGTGGTTAGGGTTTGTGGCTCCAGATCCAGCACCACCATTGCTATTTGTGCCAATTTGTGACATTGCAGCTACCACGGCTGCTGTCACTGCAGCTTGGAACATTTCAGGATCAAACTGGGGAGGTGGCGTCGGAGGTGGTGGCGCTGTGCTGCCCGAAGGTCTGGGTCTTTTCCTTGGTGGCATTGTTCTGTCATGAGTTTGCAAAAAGGAAAAATGATCAGATGATAAGTTTCTACTAGTAAAGACAAGTCAGTTGTTATAGAATTTGATTTTTCCTGCATTTTTCTTCGATTTAAGAATTCCTTATATGTAGTTCATAAAGGAAGTCCATATGAATGAACTTCACGAGTTAGTGGGTTTTGTGGTTTCTCTTAGATTTTTCACGAGTGTGTTCAAGGCGCTTGGTGCGGATCGTATGTATTCTTGCATTTGCATCAACCTTTGCGATACTATGGAGAGTCGTTCTACCCAGAATCTCGTTTCGGGCAACTCTATGGACCAGGATTGGAAAAATTGTATCTGTTTGAGCTTCCTTCGTTTATGTTGTAGAAGCTTCGTTCTCTACTAAACGACATATGTTGGTCTTGTTCTTTGCTCCAGGTTTCCAAGCACTCTACCCAAGGAGGCGTCGGGCCTTGAAAAGTTGGACAAGGGTTAGGATTCGGAACAAGAGTCATCGGGGTTAAGTTCTCCACTTCAGGGTCGGAATCAGAACCATCAGCATAGCCTTCAGCTTGGTGGCCATCTACAGGGGTTGGGTAATCATTCTCTGGCTCCTCTCCGAGCCATTTGGTATTGTCGTGGTTAGGGTAGTACGGGTCGTCGTGTGGATGGAAATCCAGCCATGATATCTTCGCGAGAAATGGGGATATAAGAAACAATTAAGCAAACGTACTAATTAGTTAATTATACGATGATCTTTATCAGGTACTTCAACAAATTGTTTAGTGCATACTAATTATATGTATTCGGGACAGGATAGACCTTCGAATAAGCGACCCTAACTCTAAATCCCCAATCCAACGAGAACAGGAAGTAGAGCAAAGATCCACAGATTCTAAGTCTATGACGTCCTGGATACATAAAATTTTAATGTATCCACTAAGCAACTATTGACCTATTGATAAAGATCTATTTAGTTCTCACATATGTAATTTTAATAATGCCAAAATACCCCTATGGTATTTCATTGTGGTAGTGTTGGTAAATTTTTAGACTTGTTGCCACATCACAACCATTCTTGGGCATATGCTAATCACTCCTCGGACCAGCATAGTTGATCAGGCTATGCTATTCCCAAGACTGATCATACATCCCCAGGCTTACCTGTGATGTCCAACAATCTTTACTTTTGTTTTGTCCTAAAATGATGCTGACCTTAGTATGTATGCATGCATGTATACTTTTAACAAAAGTTATTTATTCTTAAAGGTATAGTGGTTTTGAAATCTTAAAATCAGAGACCTTAGTCCCAATGCATTTATAGTTTGTATATCTTATGTGGTTCGATATACTTAGTTCACTATAAACAATGCTCTGATACCAATCTGTCACACCCCCAAACCAAGGATGGCGGAAACGTCTGGGGGTGGAGGACTTCATGTACAGTATCACAACAACGTGTATAATAGTGCTCAAAGTAAAAACAACCACCATAAATATAATTGCAAAAGTTACACCAAAGTATATGTTTACATGTTTCAAAAGCAATTACATTATGATGACAAAATAAATTTGTTGACGGTTTAGCGTCCCATCCTCAAAGCGATGAAGTTTGCCTGTTTCACTGACTTCCTGAGAATACAAGTAGTTTTAAAGAGTGTCAACACAAAGGTTGGTGAGTTCATAAGAGTTTTGTTTGAAGTAGAAACCGTTTTTCCTTGTAAAATCGATTTAGTTTGATTTCCAGAAAATCCAATATTTTCTTAGTTAAGTATGAATAGAAATAATCCTGCATGATGCATTAATGAACCCTAGAGTAATCCGTAGAGTTCCTCTATAATCGTCCAACATATATAAGTTATATAAGGTTTAACTTAGATAAAACGTTGAATATAGTGGGTCTGCCCCAGGTCCACAACCCAACGAGGAACAGGAGATGAGGCGGGCACCACCAATTCTAGGCCAATCAAGACTAAACTCTTATATGACTCAAACATATACGCTCAGCGACCATAGTTGAAGTCTAACAATTCTAGAGGAAATATAGTTTAATATCATAATAACTTTGTATAGAGACCCGGTACTTTGTATCTGTACCCTTTTTGTATAGAGACCCGGTACTTTGTATTTGTACCCATAGAGATAAAAGGTGATTTTAAATCAACATAAAACTCATTTAGGTTTTTAAAAATAAAATCCCGTAAACTTATGGATTGTTCCCTATGTGAGCCGTTATAATCATACTATGACTATGTGAACCTGCCACGACGTTCTCAGTGTCGCGAAAAAATGAAATGACATTTGTCACCCGTAGACCTGCAGATCCCACTGTAGCTAGCAGCGAGGTGTGGGGTGTCAATCCCAATATAGATCTATATACAAGTATCACGTTCTCCCTCCAGGAGATTCTGATTATAACTACCAGGAATTATATCCCGCACTCGGACGTACGGGGAGAGAGATAGAGAAACTCACAATATAGGATAACAAGTTTACGTGAAATGTGTGTGAAAATAAATATTTCTTGTATGAATGTACCCTTCTTGTACGAGTGCGTAGAGTGATGTATCATAAACTATACCTATTATAGTTTATCTAAAATGTATGTACTATGTATGAACTCTTTTATGGAAAAGTATTAGTGTAGTGAATTTATCGAACTCTTTTCATAGTTTAATAGTGCGTGTTCCAAAATGAATGAATAATATTTAATATGAATGTTTTAGTTTCAGTCTATAATGATAAACTAGCAAGAAAACTCATTCAAATATTAGAATTTATGATTATACACTTTGCTCAACATAATACAAAGTGTTATGATATTTACATGCTGTTGGCAAAATTTAGCAATTCTGCCCTGTTTTGGAAAAATCATAGAAAAATCATACGAAGTCGAAAACTAGATCCGTAAATTCTGAGAGTTCACAAAATGTGTCTAGTTTGCTCATAATTTTTATCACAATTTATAATGACCTCTAACTTGGGTGAAAAAGTCCATAATCACAGACTGGTCCGGATTGTTGTTTGAAATGATAGGCAGTTTTGTAAAAATCACCATAAATTGTAGAAAAATCGTATGGAGATGTGCAAGTAGCCATTTTAAAGCTAAAAACTTGATCTATTTGCACCTTGTACAGTTTTGAAAACAAAAATAGTTAAGATGCCCAAAACAGTCCGTGAATGGAGTTGAACTTTTCTGATGAAGGCTGTTAGAAAAATCTAGTTATGTTCTTAGTGTCTTAACTTGTATTCCCCCCTGAAAACTTGAGAAAACATGAAAATGTAGGGGTATGAACTCACCTTGAGTGATTTCAGTAGATACGTGTTGAAGATGGAAAGTGTTCAACCCAAGAACACTTGAAGAATCACTTGAAGATTCGAAGCTCTAACACAATTATGAGAGAGTTTGTCTAAGATATCCATGATTTGAGTGGAAATAAATGAGATAATCATAAAAGAGAATGGATTATGCTTACCAAATGTGGAGGAAAAACTCAAGATCAGCCCTTGAATCTCGAATTTCTAGAGAGAGAAAGTGAGAGAGGAAAGAGTTTGATCTTCTTGTGAAATGAGAGCAAAATGAGGGAAATGAGGAGAGAGGATGAATAATCAGTCCTCAAAAACTCGGGAAGAGGGTTAATTGAGTGGGAAAAGACGTTGATGTGACCTAGGTAAGGTGGGGAGGCATGGTTGGTCAGAGAGTGGGTGTGGGGCGGTTGCTTGTGACTGCGGATCAATAACACTACTTTGAATGCGAAGTTGGATTTTAGCTTTGCTATAAGTTCAATCGATTTTGAGAGTATTGTTCGCATTTGTATGAGTGTAGTCGATGAATTGATAAAGCTAGAACATATGAGTTTTGATTCGCAATTGGATTGATGATTGAGGGATGATTCGTGAAGAAAAACGCGAAGTCAAGGACTATGAAATTGTTGTTTTGCAAGAATTTAAAAAAACTCGATTGTGGAGTTGTTGATGCTCATTTTGCGAAAGTAAAACAATCGAGTGTTCGCATCTATGAATCAACTTGAAGTCAATTGGGTTAATATTCGCATATGGGTTCAGCATATGAATTTTTGATTTCGCAAGTTTAGAGTTCAAGAAACTAAACTGTATTCGCATCTGGAATGAAATTTTGTGAATCGCATTTGATTGATTAGGTTAAAATGCGAAGG